AAGTATTCCTCAAAGTCTACTTGCTCAACCCTATGCATATGACCCGATTCGCCGACCTCCTTCACCAAGGTGCTATCTTGGACCGGGTTTTCCAGCCATACGAAAGCCATCTACAATACCTCCTACAGTGGATGTGTGACTACAACCTGTATGGATGTGACTACATCGATTGCGCTAAAGTGCAGTTTCGAGGGCCTATACCCGATAGCGATGAGGTGGACACTACCTTACACAAGTGGCATAATGCATCCATTCCAACTGAGTTCATAGCAGACGAGGACCAATATCCACGTCAAAGCCACTGCACTCTTGAAGTCGACATTTGCGTCCAAGACATCCTCAATCGCCAACAGGTGCAATATCGCCCCATCCACCACGACTTTCTAGAGCGGTCGAACCAAATGTTTCGCAATCCTGACGATAAGTTCGTACCCTCTATGGCCGGTCTTTGGAGAGACGAAACACGTCGACGCAAGCTTCGCATGGGCCTAACCGACCCTTCTAGCAGTCCGTTCCCTGCCGAAGTGCTAGTATCAATGTCAGCAGATACACGCGACACCAAGAAAGGTGGATGGATACACGAAGATGAATATAGGGAAATTGTTGAGGGCTTGATTAACGAAGAACGTCAGGACAGAGGTGAAGTGAGTTTTGACACATTCATCAACCCAACCGCAGGCCAAGATCACATCAAGACTGCTGTGGAGAGCATCGAAGATCTCTATCCCGAAGTTTTGTCTACACAAAGGCTCGCCGATTATGACCTGGAACGTCAGGTCGAAACATTCGAGGAAGATAACGTTCATGATTTAGATGGAGCTGGGCTACTATCGGATGACCTGGACCCACTACCGCACTATCAGCATGATGCTTCGATCCTTAGCGATGACGATAGCCAAAATCAAGCAGATGCAGACAATCAGTCTGATGACGAGGAATTCCCAATGGACCCTCTCACTGTATCCTTACTACAAGCCTCCAATGAAACGATGGGACACGGCACACTCATAGATGAAGGTATCGATCTGATTGATCCAAGTGACGAGGACGAGCCACCAAATTCCAGCAGCCCCAGCTCCATGCGCAAGCGCCATATCGAGTTTACCGATGAAGATCACAACAAGCGTCAACGGATCTTACAAGAAACGCAAGTCGTCGCCCGTCGTGTCTCGTTCCGTAATGCTCTCGGTAAAGACAGCAATAGAGCGGCAGGCGAATTTCAGAAAGGCGATCGGGAAGAGCCCCCCCCAGCAGGTCAGATTTCTCAAGCAAGCATCAAAGCTCAAGGATTTGGGGGACCTACTACACTCTCTTTTCCTGTAGTGAAAAACCCGAATGCACCCGAGACTGTTCATCGCCTCGGTCAGTCAGGTTACTCTAATTCTCAAGAGGGCCCGAAGACACCTGGGGCTAAGTATCTCAATGTCAGGGCGTCGCAACGCTCTCCTGTTACTCCTTGGACACATCAAAAGACGTCACCAGCAATTCCTAGCAGCAGTGCACCAAAAGTTCGCTCGCAAGCTACAGCTTTGGTGAAGAAGCTGGACGAGTCCTGTCGACATCATCGGCCCACAGTATATTATGCGTGTCTACCTCCAACGGTCGAGATGGTCGACAGTACTATGATGAATACCGGCTTACCACCGGTAGTCTATCAAGATGCATATTATAGTGATGAGAAAGACGTTCCGGACCGTCCGCGTGAATATGCAGGTAGAGAGTTCAAATTACAGAGTATCACTCTGCCATATCTTCCACCATTCGACCCAGTCGGCGCATCTCTTGCCAACATTGGAGAATACCCGCCGGTTGTGGTAGACAAAAGGAAGCAAGTTACAATGTATCAAGCAAGGTCTAAACGTTGCAGCTTGCGTCATTGGGAGCTCTCAAGACCCCCACCTTCTTTCAAAGAAGTAGAGGATTGGACACTTCGTAAAGCGAAGCAACGTAAGACATTGAAGTCCAACATGAAGACAAATTCTGCGCCTATATCACACGAATTCGAACCTTCGCGCCATCATTCACAGATTGAAGGCCCAACACAGAAGAATCCCCACGGCTGCAAATATTCGCAGAAACAAAACAACACCAGTTTCAAGCACCAATCCCAGTACATGAGCATCATGAGCTTGGAGGTTCACGTAAACTCCCGAGGATCATTGGTACCTGATCCTGCCGAGGATGAAATTCAATGTGTCTTTTGGAGCATCCAAGGCGAGGAGAATGTGGTTACTGATCAACCACGCAAAGGTATACTGTGCTTTTCTGACGAAGACGGCATAGCTGTGCGCATCGCCAAACAGGTCTCGGTAGAGGTCGAATACGAAGAGGACGAGCTTGACCTTATCAATCGCTTGGTTGATATTGTCCGCCAGTTCGATCCAGATATTCTCACTGGATACGAGGTGCATAACAGTTCCTGGGGGTACCTTATAGAACGGGCTAGAATGAAGTACGAGTACAACCTTTGCGATGAGATCAGCAGGATGAAATTGGAGTCGTATGGAAGATTTGGCAAAGAAGCAGATCGCTGGGGTTTCACGCATACATCCACTATCCGAGTTACTGGCCGTCACATGATCAATATTTGGAGAGCTATGCGTGGTGAGCTAAACTTGCTGCAGTACACTATGGAGAATGTGGTATTTCACTTACTACATAAGCGTATTCCACATTACCAGCATTCAGATCTTACCACATGGTACACGAACGGGAAGCCTCGAGATCTCGCCAAAGTTCTCGACTATTTTATTACTCGTGTTCAGCTGAACCTTGACCTTTTGGATGCCAACGATATCGTGCCGCGTACCAGCGAACAGGCACGTTTACTTGGCACCGATTTCTTTGCGGTCATCTCTCGGGGTTCGCAGTTCAAAGTGGAGTCCACCATGTTTCGTATCGCAAAGCCAGAGAACTTTATCCTTGTCTCACCGAGCAGGAAGCAAGTCGGTCGGCAGAACGCGCTGGAGTGTCTGCCTCTAGTGATGGAACCTCAGAGTGCTTTCTATTCTAGCCCGGTACTAGTGCTGGATTTCCAGTCGCTGTATCCTAGCGTCATGATAGCGTACAACTACTGTTACTCCACTTGCCTTGGACGAATCGTTAGCTGGCGCGGCCGCAATAAGATGGGCTTTATGGACTTCAAGCGTGAACCTCAACTACTGGAACTGGTCAAAGATCATATCAACATCGCCCCGAATGGTATGATGTATGTCAAACCAGAGATGCGGAAATCCTTGCTGGCGAAGATGCTTGGTGAGATCTTGGAGACTCGAGTTATGGTCAAAAGTGGTATGAAGGAGGACAAAGATGACAAGACCCTTCAGAAGTTGCTGAACAACAGACAACTGGCATTGAAGCTGCTGGCCAACGTCACTTATGGTTACACATCGGCTTCATTTTCAGGACGTATGCCATGCTCTGAAATTGCCGACAGTATTGTCCAAACTGGTCGTGAGACCCTTGAGAAGGCAATTGCAATCATTCATGCGACAGAGAAATGGGGCGCAGAAGTCGTCTATGGAGATACGGATTCGCTATTCATCCACCTCAAAGGGCGCACGAAAGACCAAGCATTCACAATTGGCGAAGAGATTGCTGCTGCCATCACTGCTGCGAACCCACGGCCCATCAAACTCAAATTCGAAAAGGTGTACCACCCTTGCGTGCTACTCGCCAAAAAACGTTATGTTGGCTTCAAATACGAGCACAGAAACCAAAAGGAGCCGGAGTTCGATGCAAAAGGTATCGAAACAGTACGCCGAGACGGCACACCTGCAGAACAAAAGATTGAAGAGAAGGCGCTCAAGCTCCTTTTCCGAACCGCAGACCTCAGCCAAGTAAAACGCTACTTTCAAGAGCAGTGCGCTAAAATCATGGAAGGCCGTGTCAGCATCCAGGACTTTCTCTTTGCCAAAGAAGTCAAGCTCGGGACGTACTCCAACAAAGGGCATCTGCCGCCTGGCGCCCTCATTGCTACAAAACGCATGCTTGCCGACCCACGTGCAGAGCCTCAGTATGGCGAGCGCGTCCCCTACGTCGTCATTACCGGTGCACCAGGAGCCAGACTCATCGATCGCTGCGTCAATCCAGAAATGCTACTCCAAAACGACCATCTGGAGCTCGACGCCGAGTACTACATTTCCAAAAACCTAATCCCCCCCCTCGAACGCATCTTCAACCTTGTCGGCGCCAACGTCCGACAGTGGTACGACGAGATGCCTAAAATACAACGCATACGCAACATTTCAATTCCCATTGCACCGAAATACGACAACAACGGTAATATCCTCATAGGCGGTGGACACAACTCGCTCAAGAAAACACTAGAAAGCTACATGAAATCCTCAAACTGTCTCGTCTGCCGTTCGAAACTAGGTCCCCCATCCTCTACACACTTTTCCAGCGCTGCATACGCTATGCTTCCGCTCTGTGCAAAGTGCGTCAAACGTCCCGCTCACTCGCTGCTTGCGCTCAAGTATCGCATCTGGAATAGTGAGACACGGATGAAGGAGGTGGATGCCGTTTGTAGGCACTGCGCGAATCTAGCATGGAATGAAGAGATACGGTGCGATAGTAGGGATTGTCCAGTGTTTTATAGTCGGATCAAAGAGAAGAGTCGATTGGCGGTGCTGAGGGAGAGTGTAGGGCCGGTTGTCGAGGTCATGGAGGGTATGATGGATGGAGAGGATGAGGAAGAAGATAAATATGCGGGGAAACAAGGAAATGGTGATGACCTTGCATGGTAGGAGTTTTTGTCTGTTTAGAGTGGAGCTTTGTATACCCGGTTAGACTTTGATGTGAGATGTAAGAAATGACGAACGATGTTTTTACTATTCTATGCGTAAATCAGCAGTCAGTATATTCTGATGTATTGCAGAACTGATTGAAGTGATACTCTGCCTATGAACATGCTTACAGCGTCCTAGGTATTATAATTTACATCGAAGTACTTTTGTACAGCAGAAACATATACAAACAACCTCATCAGCCAGAAGATCTACACGTAGAAACAGCCAACCGAAACCCACCCCATACCCAATGACAAATGTAATGAACCTCAACCCCAACCCACCATGCACGCTAAAAAAACAACTCAATCAGCTCCACCACGCCATATCTCCCGCCCCTCCGCAACATCCTTGCTTTTTCTTATTCCCCTCCTTGCTTTTTTCCTTTCCCACCCGCGCCCGTCCTCCCATTCACCCATTCACCCATTCATCCATCCATCCATCCATCTATCCCTCTTCCTCCCCCACCCCAACTCTCACTCTCCCAACCCCCCTAAACTCCTCCTCGGCAACCCCAACCTAACCCTCCCCTCATTAACCCTCTCCAGCGCCTCCCTCCTCCTCCTCAACGGCAAACTCTCATACTCTATCTGCAGCGTCCTCGTCTCCCTGCGCCACGCCAGCACCCTCTTCTCATTGCTTTTTTGTTTCGCACACCCTGCGATGGCTGTGGGATCCGCGGTACATAGGGATGTAGTTGAGCCGACATGGCTGGCGTTATCCAGATAGGGTATGTGTGGCTGCACGGTAGTGCTGGAGTGCCATGGCGATGAGACTTTGCGGATGGAAAGGGGGAACGTGGTGCTGGATTTTAGAGCGGAGAAGAGACGCGTGGTGGAGGAGGGCGTCGGGCTGCGGGGTGGGGTGCTGATGGTGCTGGATGAGGATGATGAGAGGGAGTCATTGAGAGAGGGGGTCGGGGAGGGTGGGAGGGTGGACCAGCGTTTGAAATAGGTCATTGCCATTTGTTGGGGTATTTGGGCTATATGGTAGATTGTTTGGTGGATGTTGGAAAAGGTTATGACGTCGATGGGAGAGAGCGCATGGAGAAATGAGTGTAAGGATTTGAAAAAGGTTTGTAAGAAGATTAGAGGTTTAGATGTCCATCCGTGAAAGTTTTGCGACAAAAATTATTTTTGGGAAATATGGGAAGACAAATGCGCAAACCAATATTTGAGTCCTCGTGCCCTTCCTCCTCCCAACAAGCAAAAGTTGTTCTGAAACAGAATTTGTTCTTTTTGAGCAAACAGTGGTTCACAGCTTGCTCGCCTAAAGATTCTGTTTTCCATGATTTGGGTTTTTGCTTATTTCGATACGCCGTATTTCGGAAATTATCTTCGCGCTATTTACCTTACACAGGAAGGTTTTTCGTGAATGAAATGGGCTTCGGTAGTTATACATGAGCACCTTGGCTTTGCAGATCGTATCGATGGCTTCGGTTCTTATCTGGGCACCATGTACTAGGTCAAGTTTTCGAAGAAACCTTAGTCCAGCCATGGTTCTATACAATCACTAGCTCTTCTGCCTCGTCAGTCTCCGGTCCCTCAAAACACTCCGTCGTCATGGTTGTAAACCCGATCCTTCTCCATATATTCTCTCTCCCTTCCAACTTCACCCTCTTCAATACAAGTCCCGACGCATACACCACGTCGTGGGTCCTTTTCCTGTCCCTCATAATCTCCAAACACTTCACCTCCTCATTAAGTCTTAACTCTTCGTAGTCGTCTTGTGCATCCAGCACCACAAAGCACTCCGCCCCCGGTTTATGAAGCCGGACCCTGCCATCTGGCCCATAACGTGGTATCTCTTCTTTTTCATCATCTAGCCACATAACTGTTGTCCTTCCTCTAATCCTCATCTTGCCCGCTTTTACTGGCCCAAATGGGTCGTCCGTGGCCAGTTCACACTGAACATCCAGCACCTCTGCGAGTTCGTGTGTCTGTGACGTTGGGATTGCTCCTGGGTAATAGTACCACACGACGCCACTACTGCGACTTGCCCATGACCATGAGGGCGCCAGATAGGTTCCCGTGGCGTGACGTGAGCTCTTGCGTGTATCATACGCCTCCCATTGAAGTCCAAGAAGAAAGTTGTGTGACCAGAGTCCTGCGTAGTATGTCCCCAATCTAGGGCTTATGGATTTTGCAAGACTAGAGGATGCCGGTAGAATATCTGTAGGGTATGTGAGGCCTTTGGCAGTATAATCTTCAATGAGGGCGGCATTTGCTTCCCAGAGGTTGTTCCGGGTTTTCTCGAAGTATTCTCTTCCCGCCATAGATGGCACTGCCCCAACATTGCCAGGTTTAGATTCAGAAGCAGTTTCAGTTGTTGATGCAGACTGAGATGAAGTGGAAGGAGACGAGGAAGCAACAGCGTCGTCAAACGCCCTCAACGCCCTGGGTAACAGCGTCTTTAAATGAGACCACGTGCTCTGAAGGCCTCCAATTCTCTCCTGTAGCAAGACCCTCTGACATTCACAATCTATCATTTCGCCACATTCAAAATACGACTCTTCGTAATCTCCCCCAAAATGTAGGATCCGCTGCGCGAACAGCCGTTCCTGGAAACACCACGCGCGTCCCCAGTAGGACTTGGTATCATGAGCCGGGTTGAAAAGGTTTTCGTGTTGCGGGTTCATCCGCACAAACACAGGGGTACCGGGATCAATGGTTGGCTGTAAGGATGGTGATAGAATCTGCTTTGTTCCATAACGGTTGAAGAATAGTTCAGGGCCATGTGCGGCGATGACGAGTGCTGCTTGTGCATAGATGTGACCCATATGTGGCGCCTCGGCTACAAAGTCGACCGCATCCCCTTGCAAGATACATAGGGAGTCTATCCATATGCAGTCATAGCCTAGGCAGATGCAGAGCAACACACTGTCGCGGAAGACAGGTGAGAGAGAGTCCCAAGGAACAGAGGCGAGGTGAGCCGCCAAATTAGCGGCCGTGGTTTTGAGCGGCCGTGTGTGTGACCAGCAGTGACTGACTGCAACATAAGTGTATTGTTCAGTAGCGGAAGTGTAAAAAAGTTGAAGAGTAGGGATACTGTATTCGGGCGCAGGGGCGAGATTTATCCGGAGTAGGCGGCTGGGAGGACGTGCATTGGGAATTGTATTGCAAATTTTGTGATTTTGGAGGCATTCATTGATCCAATCTCTGAATAGATCGAGGGTCGGAGATGAAAGGACAAAGGAGGAAATATGAGGGGATGGAGGGAAAGCTTTCCAGGGGCTAGGATTTTCTATGCACGGTTAGTCGAATTTGAGCTATAAAGCAAATACAGGCCTGAAGGTAGAATTCGGATAGAATTTTATCAAGACAATGTATACCGCAGCAAGAGAGAACATACCAGGGTCAGAATAGAAATCAAGCTGAAAAACGTTCTCTTTTCTCCCCAAGCCCGCATGTGAGATGGGAGGCACCTGCAAACTAACTTCTAGCTTACTCTTTCCTTTCCCAAACGTAATATGCACAATCATTACTTCTGCATCTACCGGCTGTTCTGGAAATTGTTCTGGTATTTCGTCGACTAAACGCTTGTGTTGCACGAATTGACTCTCAATCCACCGCAATTCATCCCATTTGGGTTTCCAGTCGTCTGCAAACTCGTTAATTCCCTGGAGGAGAATGGAACAGAAAGCACAATCCGTGGATCCGGAAATTAGTTTTTCTAGACTCGTGACAACCCAGTATTCTCTTCCATTTTCGCCACGATACTCTAATTCAGAGGTTATGGGGGGATGGATCATCGCTTTGCATGTGCCTGGGACAGGGTCTTGACCGTCAGAGTGAATGATTAGGCTCCCCTTGGGACTATGGGTTCTTTGGCTAGAATACATGATTAGTATATTACCACAATTTCCACAATAAAGGCAAGACGATGATGTGCGTACTTCCTGGTATATGTCCCTGGCCTGTCCGGCTTATCTCTCTTGAAGCGGAGCCAGCGGGTGCCGTCACTAGTCTTTTTGCAGAGGAGACCGTTACGGAAAATCCAGCTTTCCATTCCGAAAGTAACCTCATGTTGGCACATGAGCACAGGCTTAGGCTCGGTAAGTTCGTCATCGATTGGTTCTAGTTGATTATCGGGTTTGGCGGTAGATGGGGAGGCCATTTTCATTCAAGGATAACATGTATGTTGATGTTGTGATACTGAAGTCAGCTGAGTGCGTAGATTGTTTGTATGGACCTGATAGGCAGCTGAATGCGGGGGGGTGTTGGTGCCTGATTGCCCAGCTGCTGCGGCTGAAGAAAGAGCCACCAAGTGGCGCAGAAAGCTCACAGCCACAAGCCTAAGATACTTATCCAAATCAGGAGGTGTGGCAGGCATTTGAGGAAATTTTTGAGACAGATATTAAATATAAAAGATATCTCGATAAGGCAGGCACCAAAGGGTGTGAAAATATAAGGGCACATACAGTTAACCGACAGCACAGAAAGAAGAGCAGATACTCGACGGTTGTGCTGAAATTTGAAGCGTCAGGACTAGGACCAAGATCGAATCCGCTAGCAAATCGAACACCAACCCCATCCCTCTAAAAAAAATGCAAGAAAAAAAGAAAGAGACTTCGTAGCGTAGCCTCATCTCGTGGTCCTTGTGTCATATATAAGATCCGATTTGGGAGCCACAACTTCCGCTACTTGCAGCGACCGTATCTCTGCTTTCCCAGCACGCGTTGGGCAAGGAATACTTTGATAGAAACACTCATAAGTATGGATTTTGGTTAAGGGGCTACTGCTTGGTTAGTTTGCGTTGTTAATATTGCTGATCATACAAATCAGATGCAGGACACTCAGTTAATAAACTTAGAGCTATGACAGTATTCTGAACACAAGAGTCAGTGCCATGAGTCAACGCATAAGAAACTTGGATAATCCATTGCGCAATTTTGTGTAAACCTACAAAATTATGTATGGGATATTATAACTAGCCAAAAAGAGAAAAGTATAGATCGGTGTTAGTGCTCGATGCGACGTCATTACAACGTAGACTAATCTGATACATACATACACCAGCACGACCGGTCAAAAGCCCCGAGACGAATTGTTTTATCCAGACTCAGCCTCAATTGTGCGCCACATACCTCATATAGATCGGTTGCATATGCGTGAGTGCCTTGTATAGTTACGGGCGTAAGTATGAGTGCGGCCTAACCCCTCTCCCCCAAGCGCTTGTCGGATGCATGTGACACCAACCAGATTACCGCCAGTGACGCTATCCAACATCCAAGGCCTACTGTATAATAGAGCTGAACCGAAAGACTATCAATCCACATAAGATCAATATGGAAAAACATAACTTCTCGTTTTTTCACTATTCGCCCTGCTGAGTTGCGGAGACTTAGTGCATACCCTGTAGTTCTTAGCTGTTTTAGTATTCAAACCCGACAGCGAAAGGTGTCGGTAATGATGCTGTTTCTGACGAGAATGTAGTGTGATGGCTAAATCTCTTCGGAAGTGAAGCAGAAGTAATTTGTTTAACGCTACTATCCGGAACTAATCTAGATATGTTGAACCTGGTAGTATGTCTCCGAGTATTCAGGCAAGCTATCACACACACTGGCACCTTTCATTACGTAAAATGTTTCGGTCTCATTCTTGCTAAATACTAATAATCTGTGTTTGAGTGATCAAAGCTGCGCTGGCATTGCTCCTTTTATAATAAGAGAGTGATGCATATTAATTGTAAGGGGAAATGCCAAAAGTAGATATGTATTAAGTCGAGAGATAAGATGTCATAAGCGGTTAGAAATCTAGGGCCTACCAATAGTTCGACCAATTCGGGCGAGAGCTTCATTAAGGAGTTGATTCGCGATACTTCAACCTTCATACAGAAAGATATAACATACACAGCTAAGATATTGTCTAAACAACGCACTAGCGTGGCCAGTTATGTAGATCATGGGACGCTAGGTGTATGTGTAAGATCTCCTGGTGTAATTTTCATGTCACCTCGCTCTACTAGTCGAAAATCCGCTAATCAAACTTCACCTAAAAGGCAATTTAAACTACTATACCAGAAATCTTGACTCGACGAAAACATGATGGCACAAGACAAAGATCTGCACTAGTCAATAGTGGCTCTCGAAAGATCTTGTTTCAACATCCAGTCAGCTACGCTAAGTCAATAGATATCATGAATCGCTTACAACCGCTCCCGAAGCTTGGTATCTGTGTTTGACCCCGCCTCGAACCAAACGTGTACGCAATATCTGGAGTCTTGTCAGAAATGCGTCAGCATAGGCGCAGAATTCCTCAGCCTTGAAGCAACTACTGAGTAGTGTATGTGTCTCAATGTACTACTTGCATTGATGTTATTTAAAGACCCAGTTAGAATGAGGAAATACTGCGGAAAAGAGAAATACAGGCATTGCTGCTGCTTTCTTGTAGAAGATCAGTCCTATGTTATTCTACTTCGTTACAAAGATTCGACTGAAAGATATAAGGAAAACGTCGTAGAGATGTGTATATGACTAAGCAGAAATAGGGAATTGTATATGGTTGCACATATACACATAGCTCAGCCAAATGGTATCCCTGTCGATCGTCTACTGCCACAAAGACCTTAGTGACAACACATGTCCTACTTCAAAGCACTAAGAGTGGGCAGACAGTAGGCATAGTCGGTAGCTAGGGGCAGGCGTTCCAGGTTGTGACAATAATGGGCACATATGGGAACATGGTTGCAGTCTAGCAGAAGCGAATACGTACCCGGAGAAATGTTGCGTCATGACGGAACTCCGGCTTTACTTCAGACATCCAAGTTGCCGGTAATCTGGGGTGAACGATACCATCAAGAAATGCAACCAGCGTCCATGAGCGATTACTTGCGGTGACCATTGTACTGGAAGCGCTAAAATATCAACCCATGCGACGTCATGTCATCGGATAAAACGGTCCGAGATGTGACCGGGGCCGTTGTGAAGTATACCGGTAAACCTGTTTTGAATAAAAGACCCACCATTAATACACCAAACGACTTGGAACTACTCAAAACACGGCACATAGCTTACTTTATATGAGAGCCAACAGATAGTATTACTCAATCTAATCAGGGTGTAGCCATGTTTTCCAAGGCACGTCCCATGCAGCCATATAGTAAAGGATTTGCTTACCCTTTTCTGCTTCAAAGATGCCAATGTAATCACAGTGCCCTGAAATCTATATATGACTCGATTGTACAGCGACAGGGATAGAATGGTCTGAACCGCGTCGGCTCACTTATCAAACCATGGTGTGGCGGAAACCAAGGTTGGTAGACATCGTGGGCTTTGGTGGTTGGGGTAAGCGAATGACACACGCAATCCTGAGTCAGACAGTGAGTATTCCATACCTGCCAAGGCACTTTTTTGTGGCTCGTGCATCCAAGGCCAGTTGTAGATGTCGAAAAAGTTTAAATGTGGAATATTTGTATTGAGCTCTCAGACGATAAGAAGTAATGCTGACTGCCGAATCTTCAAGTGTACCGATGATTAGAATCAGCACATTTATCTTGATCAATGGGATTGCTATTAGCAAAAGCAAACCGAGAGGAATCAAAGGTGAGACTTTCTAACAACCAGTCTGATCGTATCATGATGAACAGATCAACATGCAAGTCTGGAGAGTTGAGAATGTAGTTGCTTGGAGTTGAGAGCCAGTACATTGTAGCCTCCAGAAAGCTATGCATCAATGCACTTAACAGTAAGATAGTAAGCCTTGAAGATTCTCTCTCACGTTGCTATGTCAATACCAGAATGCAACCTTCAAGTGCTGTGTGCACCCGCGTTTTCATGGCATAGGTTGGCACCATAACTATTCATTAATCGTTGAAAACTTCTCCATGGAAGCTTCCCTGATGACCTATGACCACAATTTGAATTAGAGTAAAGTATAAAGTAAAATGCAAGATAGTTAGGACGTTTGAGGTAAGTAATATGGTGGTGAGGGGGCGCGAGAGGAGAAGGCGCGTTATCACGTGAGACAGGCGACTAATGTTATTACATAATCACAGAACGCGTTTGCCAGTGAGAGCAACAACTTTCTAGTAACAACAACGCTGCTGCTGCCTTCCCAGCGACCAATTCCCGCCACCTTTTACCCTTACAACTATTGGAATTCTCAGTGCGATCGCTAATATGTAAGGACACTTTATGTGCGATATATATGATGAGAAAGCTAACGCCGCACAGGGAGGCATTCAACGACATTTATCTCAACCTCTCACGAAAGCCTGGTGCGACTCGATTCTCCGACTCAGGATTTGGCTGGAAGCCAGCGAACGGCGAAACCTACACTTGCGACCAGTCACAGATTATCCAAGCGCAGTGGAGCCGAGCAGCGCGCGGGTACGAAGTCAAGATCCTCTCACGTAACGATGGCATAATACAGCTTGATGGATTCAAGCAGGAGGATTTCGACCGTGTCGCAAAAGTCTTCAAAACTTGGTATGGCATAAGTTTGGACAACCGAGAGCACGCTCTGCGTGGTTGGAATTGGGGAAAAGCCGACTTTGGCAAGGCTGAGCTCACCTTCAACGTCGCCAATCGTCCCGCGTTCGAGGTACCGTACACCGAAGTCTCCAACACCAACCTGGCAGGCAAGAACGAAGTCGCAGTCGATTTCTCGCTTCCAGCGGACAGTGATTCGGGCGCGAATGGCCAACTTGGAGGAGCCAGGTTTAGAGGCAAGAAATCTGCTGGCGCCCGGGACCAGCTTGTTGAGATGCGCTTCTACATACCCGGTTTGGCATCCAAGAAGGAGAAGACCGAGGATGGAGAGGACGCTTCTGGTGCAGAGGATGGTGAAGAGACGAATGCGGCTAATCTATTCTACGAGACATTGATGGAGAAGGCTGAGATTGGCGAAGTTGCGGGTGATACATTTGCCACATTCTTAGATATCCTACATCTCACTCCTAGGTATGGTGTCTTTATCTACAGTTACATCTTGGGCACTAACACTGAGGCAGGGGTCGTTTCGATATTGACATGTACGAGAGCTCGTTCCGGTTGCGTGGTAAAACATACGACTACAAGATCCAGTTTGACTCGGTCAAGAAGTTTATGGTTTTGCCAAAGCCTGACGACATGCACACTTTGATCACAATAGGTCTGGACCCGCCCTTGAGACAGGGTCAGACGCGATACCCGTTC